TGAGGCCTCATGATGCAATTTAAGAATGGCTGCCTGTAAGGATCGAGAATCGTCCGTCAGCGACCATTTTGGTGAATTGCTCATATTTTGCTCAACGATACCCTTTGGTAAACTGTTTTCAAAAATCAAGTTTAAAAGTTCCGACGAGTGTTAATTTTTCAGAAATTTGCGAAAATTTGAAAACGCGGTTTAAGTGCGGTTTTCCGCCTGGCAAATTGTCCAAAATTCACTGCAAAACCCAAGCTCCGTTGAAGGCTTAAAATGAATTCAGTTAACCCCAAACTTCACACGTTTTAAGAAAAAGTCTTCCCATTTATTTGTGTTATGTTAATTTTTTCCGTACACAGCTATATTGTGATTTTTTTTTAAGTCCCTTAAGCAACACCCTGAAAAAATGCTGTACATGGGGCGAAAAATAGGTAAAATTTAACGCAATAAAAGTATACCTGGTACATAATTTTTTAAATTTTAAACTAGATATTCGTAAAAAAATGTCAAAAATTCAATACCTGAGTAAAATTTGAGCCTTTGAATCGGAACGCTTCCTTTTGAAAAAATACCACAAATGTTTGTGTCCTGAGCGAGCAAAGATATATGTTGTGTAAACAAACGCTAATCTAATTATTCCCTACCAGGTAGAAAAAGGTTTTGAAGTCAACTTTAATTTTGGCAATTTTTAGCTGTTATGCCACAAGATATTAGGTAAAAGGGAAATCATACATTCAGAGTTGCGTGAGAGCAGAAAGAAAATGAAATCAGTGTCGAAAATGTACATACGGTTGTTACAGGGATCACCATTATGCAAATTACTACCTCAGCTGTACGAAAACTATGATGGCTAAGCCAATAAAAAGTCTTGAATTGCATTATCCAATGATCTAGTTTTTAATAAATATATATATATATATCTTATTAGATGTTCTGTCGTGTAGTATTGCTGAGTATTTTTGCAAGCAACGAGTTAAAATACTCAGCGATACTACACAACAAAACGTCTAATAAGAGATTTACTGTTGAAATTTATCCAACGCGCCCAACTGTTATTTCAAAGCGGGCGAATTTCGCGGATATTTCTGGAGTACAAATCTCGCGTGACATTTGTACTCGTCTCGTGCGTTAATTGTACTCTACGAAGCACAGTTTGATAATAAATAATAGTATTACAACCGCTGATAAAGAAAACAAAAAAAAAATAGATTAAAGGCGAGGAAAGAAACCATTAAGGCTTGTAAGTTTAGGTTATCTCAAGTAGTAAAATATAAATAAAAGTCTAAACAACAGATATAGAAAAATAATGAATTGACAAGCTCTATAATATTCCGTAGTCCCTAGAAGAATTTAGTAACTGTTGATAGCAGATAATTAAGATACACATGCCGTTACCCTACCTCAACGGTTTTAGATGGCCGAAAGAGTCTGCGATAGACATAAGCTTCAGAACATGTATTCGATGACTTAGCTTCATTTCAAACATAAAAGATAAAATGATACAAATCACTTTCGTTAAAACTAGTGGGATCCCAACCATGGACCAAACAATGCCAGAATCTACCACATGGCTGGAGGAGGAAGAACAGGGGCCTGGTCTGCTAAGACAAATGACAAGGGACAATGGATTCAGGTGAATCTTAGTAGAGCTGTGGAGGTGACCAAAATCGGGATCCAAGGTCGTCATGACTACGCTCAATGGGTCACAAAATTTAGAGTGGCCTACAGCACGGATGGTCAGCACTTTACACTTCAGAATCAGGTAAACTGTAAAAGATAACAAAAGACAATTTTACCTCATCTACTGTTATTTAGGTAGCTCCAATTTGAATCCGTACAGCTGGATTTTTATGTGGACGGAGAATTAGACACGGAGAAAAATCATTGGACGATATCCAACGAAAACCTGATTCCACCTATGACGCTTAGCCCGGTAATCGAACCAGTGACATAGAGGTAGGACGCGAGCTGTCTCCCCTGTAAACCATTCCTGTTCAACAAAACTCGTACGAAGGCACAATAAGATATAACGACATGCCTCTCGGTGGCAATAGTTGATAATTTGACATTTTTCTCGTCTGAAACTCAGTAAAGGTAGATTTACGAAGCCCCTTCGGCCAATTTTCGCCTTCAAGTCTCCTTTTTCATCTGTTCGACGATCCAGAGTCCATTGAATTGTTCGAAAGGAGGGCAAACACGGGAAATTCCGAAAACTGTCGAGAGGGTTAGAGCACTTTATGAAGAGAAATTTTTTTTGGTATTTGACAGTTCAATATGTAATGTAATTTCCGATGAAACTCAGAGAGCCAACCAAAGGACATCTGAAGTCTCTAAATATTTTTTCCGGCTGTTTCGAATTGGAAAACCTGTTATGCAAGAATTTAAAACTATGTCATAATTATTGATTTTATTGTTTCAGGAGTATTCAGGGAACAGGGATCAAAATACTCTGGTTATAAACGACCTTGCCAAATCAATCAAGGCACAGTACGTCCGTATTCTTCCCCAAGAATGGCATGGACACATCTCTTTGAGAATGGAGCTTTACGGGTGTGATTCTTCAGGTAATGAATTCTCAGCGACCCATAACTTATGTTTTACATCACACTGAATTAACAGGATTACTAATTTCTCTCGATTTCTAAGGGGCTATCGACGGTGGTTACTCTGAATGGAAAGATTGGGGTATATGTTCGGCGACGTGTGGTGGAGGAACACGTTCAAGAAGCCGGTCATGCAATAATCCTGTTCCACAGAATGGTGGTGCAGACTGCTCATCCCTGGGACCTAGTGAGGAATTTGAGTCTTGTAATAAGCAACCTTGCAAAGGTAAGGGATGATAGAAATACGAAGACGATAGCTCTCCCTGTTAATTAAAGCACCTTCATTGGATCATGTGGTTTGGTTTACCTATTGTTACACCGTGTTGAAACACTTAGCGAAAAGATACCTTTTTCGGGTCCCATACCATACGGAAATATGTCCTTTCTTTGAAAGCTTTGGTTTAAAGTCAACTTGTTAAACTAGCTCAACGCAAAGATATTTAAAATTTTAAGAACGAAACAGTTTTCTTTTCATAAATAACACACAAACACTTTGACCATGACTTTCTTGGCCTCTGCAAGTGTGAGAAAATTCAACGCAAAGACATCTATCTATCTTTAATGCTGAATTACCCTCCTTTCAGCTAAATAATTTATACTACAAATAAATTAATTTTGTACGCAGTAAAAAGAAAATAGAATAGTTTAGGTTAAATATATTTATCGAAGGAAACTGCTTTCTCAATGGACTATTTTTAACTCGACAACAGTTCTTTAGCATATTTCTAACTTACCCTCTACCACTTGCATCATTGCTTTTCATTGATTATTTCATTATTTATTATTTTATCATGTATTATTTTTATTATTATTTTGTAGGATATGGCCCTGAAGGTATGTACACAGTCAAGTCTCTTGACACAGTTTAGAATATTTATCAACAAACGATAATAAATGAAAGTTAAGAAATATTAATTGGGGAAAAATTCACTAGCAAAAGAATGTCTTATCTTTTGTATTTATATGGACCTCGGCTTAATCTCGGTCCATAAAAACGCGAATAACAAGAAATTGGCCAATATGCAGGCATAGTGACCTCACGCTTGGTCAATAACGCATATATATTTCAGTTCGAGGCTATGAGGATGATGTATTCAGCGATTTAAACAAAACGTTTATGAAGGACATAATTAGCTACTAGACTATTAACAAGATAGAATGTCATGATGTTACGTTAAATGTTACGTAACACGAGAGTACAGTGAGGTATATCTGTTGATTTTCATGCCTGTTAGATTGTGACGCCCCTCTTGGCATACAAAGTGGAGAAATACCAAATTCTGATATCACCGCCTCCTCCGAAGTAAGTAATACAGGGGGTGTGTGGAAAACATAGGTCATTTGAATTTGTGGGATTTCAGATATTCTTAAGCGGTAAGCATTAGCCACAGAGTGATATCTTTGCATTGACTGACATTTGAGGTCATTTTTCCCATCAGTGAAATCTGATAGTTATATTTCGAACACAACTTCTCTCTCTCTTCAGTGGGCTGCAAACCACGGGCCCAGCAATGCAAGGCTCAATCGTCCAGCTGGTGGAGGTAAGACAGGAGCTTGGTCAGCTAAGGCAAACGACAAGGGACAGTGGATCCAGGTGAATCTTCGTCAACTAACTCGTGTGACTAAGGTGGCAATTCAAGGAAGACAAGACCATCCGCAATGGGTTTCTGCATTTAAGATATCTCACAGTCTAGATGGAAAACAGTTTGAATATCAAGACAGGGTATGAAGATAATGTGAGATCACCCTAAAATTATAACTAATGCATTTCTCGACTTTCTATCAGAGGTAAAAGTACGAGCGGCTTTTTGCAGTGTCAGGTATGACAATTAAAAACTGAGATATTTTCCTTGAAGCAAAGGTTTGATAATCCTACTGACGAATCTAGAACTGAAAGCTAATAACATGGGCAAAATTACTCGAATTTTAACTTATGATTGGCTCAAAGAAAGGGTTGATAGAGAAGGCAAACCCCTTCCTCAACAATTGTTTTTTCTTCGCACGGGACATGTAATGTAGTAAACAGCTGCTGGCGATATGAAAATAGTCTTAGAGTCGTTGGCTGCTGTCATCTTGCACTGAGCACCTAATTATCCCTAGCTACTTTACAGAAAAACATACGGCCCCGCTTGAGGGATGAATCAGATGGATAAAAGGATAAATCACAGAGGGTTAAAAATGTCCGCGATTTAGTTGGACCTAACTTTAATTTCTTCCCATTAAGCAAACGTTTTGAAAAACAATTTCATTATTTGTCTTCTCTTACAGATATACGATGGAAGCAATGATCAAAACAGTGTTGTAATGAACACGTTGATGGAACCAGTCATCGCCAGGTTCGTCCGTCTTCATCCGTACGTCTGGTATGGACACATTTCACTGAGAATGGAGCTTTATGGTTGCAGCTTGAAACAAGGTTATACTAATAATACCCTTAAATATAACCCTATGCTATAATTGAAAGTGACTGATCCACTCACTCTTATTGGCAATTGGTGGGTCAATGAGTTTTACCAAAGTCTGCATTAAGTACGTACGTGCATCATATCCGTAGGTTTGGTTGCCAAAATCATTTAGTCTTGTTTTAAAGTCGTCATAGAAAGAAATATCTTTAACTTCTCACTTGTCAAAGAAGAGAAGGTTACCCGCTCATTCGTGTAAGACTTACTGTTGTCTCTTTAGAATGTCTATCTCCTCTGGGTATGGAAACCTACAGGATTCCCAACTCAGCCATAACCGCTTCCTCAGAGGTAAAACGCTACTTTTAATAAGCCGGTAGATCCTTTTTATTTGTTTTTCATTGCTTTCGTAGATCGTAGGTTATCCATAAATCACAACGAGCAATAAAAGTATTTGTCTAGAACTTAAATTTCCGTGCTTGGTCCACCTGGAGTAGATTAATTAAAAAATCTTGGCTTGCAAGCTTAGCTTGCAAGCTTCAAATCTGTCATGGGAACGTAGATCATGAGTGAGACCTACTTTATGAGCACTTTCAAACAAATGTTAGCAAGCCATATTACCACTTAAAGAATAATTTATCAATCAATCAATTGGGTGGAACGATCGTTCAATACGAACGGGTGACTGAGTCATCGAGTACGTTACAGAGGGAGTTAGAGATTGAATTAAGAAATGACTGACATCGAAAGATTGATTGATCGATCAATTAACTGATCGATTATTTGATTTAGTGATTGACTAATCGACTGATATAATGATTGATTGGATTTAGTGGGACGTTAACCATGGCCCTACAAATGCCAGGCTTAACAGACCCAGTGGTGGAGGCAAGACTGGTGCCTGGTCAGCCAAGAGAAATGATGAAAGCCAGTGGATTCAAGTGACCTTTCCTGAAATCACTAAAGTAACAGGAGTTGCAATCCAGGGCAGATATGACTACAACCAATGGGTTACTAAGTTCAAAGTGTCTTACAGTCTTGATGGTATTCATTTTGTGACCATACCTATGGTAGGTGTTATTCAATTTTAAAGAAAGAACATGAATAAACATGTCAGAGAATGAACATGTCAGTCCCTTATTTAACAAGGCCTTAACGGCCTTGTTAAATAAGAGACTGACATGTTCATTTACCGGGAAAAAAGAGATAGGAAAGGCACTATATATTTGTAAGAGCTGTTGTAAATTTTTACTATAATTGATAAAGTTCCTACTACTCAAGAAATCTTGATAATGCTTTACTCAATGTAGTTCTGCGTTTCATAATTTTTTAATGTTTCCTAAGTTTGAAAGTCAACAGCTCATTACGCTCTTGCCGATTACATTATACTTGACGGTATATAGGTCAATAGCTTGCCTTGAGCTCTGAGCTTTTTTTCGAGCTCATTGTTGGTTCTTATTTACCAGGTATACAACGGAAATAAGGACCGAAACGGAATTGTCATCAACGATTTAGAAGCACCCATTGAAGCTCGAATAGTTCGCTACATTCCAGTTGAATGGTATGGACACATATCCCTTAGGATGGAGCTTTATGGTTGCCATTTATCATCAGGTGATTATCTTACTATTAATTCCCCCACTAACATTTTCTCAGTAATCTGCGCAGTCTCCTTTTTGGGTTTGGCCTATAGGGTAGAGATACCTGACTGGGAGACTATGACTTCTTACCTTTTCTAACCTTCATGGAATTTGCATCGATCAGAGATTAAGGAGGCTTAAAATGATAAGCATAGAGAGGCGTTTTTCACAATGTTTGATTTTTATGCAAGCCGCCTTGCAAGTGCAACGTCCAAAATTGCTGGAAAACGATGGACTTATAGTAAAATTCACGGACAGGCGGTTTCACGGTGTTTAGTTTTATGCAAAGCCGCCTTGCAAATGCAGCGTCCAAAATTGCTGGAAAACAACGGGCTGTTAATAATAGGCATGGAGAGTCGTTTTAGACGATGTTTGGTTTTATGCAAAGCCTTATATCGTCCAAATTGCTGGATAACCATGGACTTCATCATGAAGGCTCACAGAGGGCAAAAGGGGAGGGGGGCACATCTTGTGGATTTTACGGTGCACTTATACCCATCTTAAACAAAACTTTCTGAGAGAAAATGATAATTTTCCTTTCAGAGTGTGCAACACCTTTGGGTATGGAAAACAGGTTTATTCCCGACTACGCCATAACAGCTTCGACTGAGGTAAGAGTCATGGAGAGAAAAACTGCTTTTACAGATAAATAACCTTTTGAGATGCCCAGTGGGTGTGATTAACGATTGTCGAAAGCAAGATCGATTTACTATGCCATAGAATCTGGATATTGGCATTAGATACACATTTGCCTTTGGTTACAATGAACATATGAAGTTAATTATCATCACGGGTTTATTGCAAATCAACTTAACGGCCTGCTCCCAGTTGGCTTGTTAGTTCAATTGGTAGAGCGCTGCACCAGTATCGCAGAGGTCAGTGGTTCGAATCCCGTACAGGCCTGATTTTTTTCAGGTCTGATTTTCGCTATTGCATAAATAGAGCTATCTACTGCGAAGGATCGTGCATCATACATACACATTTGCCTTTACTTTTTATGGACGGTTTTTTGAAGGATACGTCGTCGTCAGCATTTTAGCCTGGCCGTAACCCATTTATCACCAATTGTACTTCGTGCATGATATGATTAATCGCGAGATGCAAATCATGGCAGCCGAGGGGAAGACAGGTGTACAAAGTAAATTTACAATACAACATTTCGCCTCGTTCCATTTTATCACTATAGCTGGTATGAACACTTTGGTCTTTGTTTTGAGAACATTCCATAGAAAAAGTTTTCAAAAGAAAACTGTGACAGGATATCAAACATAAAAACTGTAACGCTTGACCCTCTCTCATTCGTTACATATTGTATAAAATCACTTATATATAGTGGGCGGGAAATCATGGTGCTTCCAATGCAAGGCTGCATCCCTCAGCAGGCGGTGGAAAGACTGGTGCCTGGTCTTCGAGGGTTAACGACAAATCACAATGGATTCAGGTGGATCTTTGAGGGATGTACAAAGTAACAAAGATTCTAACCCAGGGAAGGCAAGATTATGCGCAATGGGTGACTCAGTACAAGGTTTCGTATAGCTTGGACGGAACTCATTTTATATCTCAGAACAAGGTTAGTAAACTATAGCATAGGACTATAGAGACCAAGCCAGAAATCGGGGCTTCTATTGAGATAAATTTTAATATGCACTATTTTCATTCTCATTTAATCTTTGTTTTGATTGATGTTGAAATTCCACTGAAATAAAAGGAGGCACTTTATAGTAGTTAGCTCGCTGGACGCTAATGTTAACTTTAAAACAATGCACTTTACTGTTACAATGCCCTTTTTTCACCCTGGAGGGTACGTGGTTATTTTTAGGAAAAGCAGAAAACAAGAATACGCTCCAGCGGCTTGAGACACGTGATTTGCATGTAAGACACATTCAGCGAATACAACGATGCTTTTTATCTTAAGCCAGAGAACATATTTCATAAAGCATATCAAGCAAAAGCTTTTTTCGTTGCCGAACAACAATCAGCTTCCGGTGAGCACTTCATGCAGCGTATATTGTTTGTTGGGTCACGATGTTTTGGAATACCCTGAATTAATTACTTAAACCAACTTAAATTTAATGTTGAAACTTTGCAAGGACGACTGGTACATCTTGTGATCCTGAGGTAACTCAAAGCTTAGCCGTTCGTAATGAATGATTAATCGTAATTCTACGTCCCTTTAGGTGTACCAAGCGAACAGGGACCAAAATACAGTGGTAGTCAATGCCTTAGAGAAGCCCATAGAGGCGCGCTTTATTCGCCTCCACCCCCAATTATGGCATGGTCACATTTCGTTGAGAATGGAGCTTTATGGTTGCAGTTTGAAAACAGGTGTGGCTTTTTCTAGAAAGTCGCTGCTGGAAGTCATCAAAAGCGTAATATTAAATAAAATACTTGACTGTTTTTCAGTTTAGAAAAGGAGAATAAACGACAAAAAATATAATGGATACATGTATATGCCAGAAGACTGGAGAAAACTTTTTAAGCAATCTTTTTTCGATGATATGAATCGTCATATTTTGATACTCTTGTTAACTTAGCCAGGCTTGTTGGGGTTGTGGGGGGGGGAGGGGAGGCTATTATTGGGATCTTTTGTCATTATCTTCGTGTAACATATACTCTCTTCTGTCGTCAGATTGTGCCTCGCCAATGGGAATGGAGAGTAAATTTCTACCAGATTACGCAATCACCGCTTCGTCTGAGGTACAGTATGTTAGGATTTCAGTTCTTGGGTATAACTTGGGGTCAAGAGTGAGGGAAACAGCCTTTTTATTACCTTAACTCGAACACGCAAATAGATATCTCAAGAGTTGATTATATGCAGTTACATTGATCAATCCCCCCTCATTCTTTACATGTATCTAAAGCTTACTAAAGTAACTTTTCTGGTTGGGAGGCATCCATCGCGTGCTTTCAATTGCTGGACTTATCTTGATTATATTTTCTTCAGTGGAATTCAGGTCATGGAGCCTCAAATGCTAGGCTGTACTTTATGGCAGGTAGGGGAAGGACTGGTGCATGGTCTGCAAGAGCAAACGACAGATCACAATGGGTTCAGGTGGACTTTGGGAAGATCAAGAGAGTGATGCAAATTGCCAGTCAAGGCCGTTCAGACTACGCACAGTGGGTGACCAAATACAGGGTCTCGTACAGTACATTTGGAAAAACGTTTGCGCTTCAAGATCAGGTAAGCTACGCTTAGATAACATCACTTAACATTGTAAATGCCATGGCATAGTTTGCATTTTGATAGGGTTTTAAAAATAAATACTAGTTTAGTTATTTGTACTATATCATTCTGGGCTTGATATTCTCCTAGCTTTAGTTCTAACCACGCTTGTGTGCAAGAGAAAACTGGAAAAATTAACGAACATCTGAAACATGAGTTTTATTTCAAGAGATTAAAAGGCAGTGAAGCCTTAGGACATCAAGCAACATACATAAAAGTCTCTGAGCAGAGAGAGAAAAACCTATGCTATTATTTCCGGAAGACTCCATTCTTTAATTTTGTTCAAAATTGTTTCGTTATTCTAAAACACCAATTTATCGTGGATCGCTGATTCACAATTGGTTGCTGTTTCCTTGAAATTCCTACACTAAAAAACATATTGGGATCACTTTTCTGATAACCGTAGGACACCATAGCAATATAACAACCTCGAATGACCCTCATCACTGAGTTACAGGAACATCTTTCTGTCGATGAGAAAAACTTTACCTTTCGCCCATTGGCAAATTTACATGTTTATTTTGATCATTTTAGGTTTACCAAGCTAATAGCGACCAGCACAGCGTTGTTGTCAATACTCTCGTTAAACCCTTCGAGGCTCGTTTCGTTAGGATAAAACCTGAAGAATGGCATGGCCACATTTCAATGAGATTTGAACTTTATGGATGCGACGTCTTTGAAGGTGATATTTCTTTTTTTCAGTCATCACGCAAACTGTTTATCAGACAGCTGTTGAAAACATGACGTCTTTAAATTAATAGGATGTGTGACGCCGCTCGGACTGACCAGTAAGAAGTTACCCAACTCGGTGTTAACAGCCTCTTCAGAGGTAAGTTAAGTTTACACTATTCCACACACATGCACAAATCCTCACAATCAGCATGCTAAACTTTACGCTATACTACTCTCTGACGTATCCAAGAGGAATTTGACAGATATACTCCTTTTACGTACATCAATAAGCTTGGGGCTGTAAGTCGAGCTAATTTTTTTTTATTTTACTTTTATTCCTATGGTTTCCGATTTTCAAATGACAACTTCAAATACAGACTTATTCTCCGTTGCATATCTGTTACCCACAACATGATGGGAACAGATGGGATGCTTAGAAAGGGCTGCTGTGTCTTTATAATTTATCGCAATAACTGCAACTCACTCAGCTTGTAAGTCATATTTAGACGTTTAAAGCTGTGGGTTTAGACAGAGAGAGAGAAAGCTTGTTTCTAAAGATTTGCACATTGTACAGGTTGAAGAACAATAGGACACGTAGTCCCCTACTAGGTTCATCCACCTAAACCCAACCTACCCATCCCTCCCCGGGGAAGGACATCCATCACACAGTAATCTCATGCGTGGGAAATTAACGTCTCCTAGCCCTCCTGCAGGAGACGGCACCTCCTTTTATTCGTCCCTATCCGAGAAGACTAGAATAACTAACCATTTCTTGATGTATGTTATAGAAAGGTAGCAAATTTTTCTCAATTATTTTAAGACCTTGAGTGTTGGTCCGGCCTGGGCTCGAACCCTCGACCTCCCACACAACAGTCCAGCGCTCTATCCATTGAGCTAACTGGGAAGCGTTGTGTTCGACTACTTGCGACTCGTGTCCCATGCAACGTTACATTGGTCATTTTCTCTTCGTTGTCATATAGAGATGACTAAGATGTACGATGCATGTGTGAGGCTCTTACACTTATTCTCTGCTTTATTACCAGTGGAATGGAAATCATGGGGCCAGCAATGCAAGACTCTACTTCGTGTCAGGTGGTGGGAGGACTGGGGCCTGGTCTGCCAAACTGAACAATAAAGGGCAGTGGTTACAAGCAGATCTTGGCAAGACGACTACTGTTACTATGGTGGCGACTCAGGGACGGTACGACTATGATCAGTGGGTAAAAAGCTTTAAGGTGGCTTACAGCATGTACGGGAGTCATTTTGAATTTCAAAACAAGGTAAACACTGGCAGCATCTACACGACCTTTACAGCTATCAATCATTTTGATCTCAATAAAGACCTAGAACGGATTTATTCGCACCTCCATGGATAACTTTTCTCTGAGCTTTTTGTATGAAGGTATCGGTTTGATTAGAATGATACGAGTATGCTATTTTGTAAGTAGCTAGTTTTACAGCTTTACAGCTCTCAATCATTTTGATCTCGATAAAGACCTAAAACGGATCTATCTACCCCTCCATGTATAGCTTTCCGCAAAACATTTGGTATGAGAGCATCTGTTTGCGTGGTTTGAATGATATGAGTATGCCATTTTGTAGGTAGCTACAATGAAGAAAAAAGTACTTGTAATGTCCAAGATAAAAACATGTGTGACGTAAGAGAGGCTATTTCATAATCCTTCTGGATGCTCTGAAAAAGAGTGATTACCCAAGCAGTTGGGTCTATATAAGGAATTAGATCTCTTCAGTTGATTTTCCCTTGAAAAGGGTTTTATACGGGTAAAACTACGTATTAACACGAAGAAGAATGGACCTACCCTTATATGGCGTTTTATTAGTTTTGCCGAGTCTTCTCAGACGTGTCCATTGAGGTCACAGACAGATGTAAGCTTTTGCAGTGTTTCAGATTTACTGAAAAAGAAATAGTCAGTAATTATTCTTATTGAAAATTGCCTCTCGACTTCAGGTGTATGATGGCAATACAGACAGGAATAGCGTTATCGTCAATAGGTTGATTCAACCAATTAAAGCACGTTTCGTTCGTCTCTATCCTGAGAGTTGGCATGGGCACATGTCCATGAGAATGGAACTGTATGGTTGTGAAATATATTCAGGTAAACTAAAAAAAGTTTCATCTGATGATGTGTCTTCTAATGCTGCATTTGTCCCGCCCTATCGATGTATTTGCCATAATCATCCTGTTTGAAAAAGCCTTTACCACTCTGAATAGAATCAAGATGGTTTCGTAAGCAACAAAAACAGACGGTTCTGGTCTAAAAAAAGACATCGAATTTAGTCAGCACTTACTAACTTGTTTGCTTTTAATCCATTTCACAAAATAAATTGAGGTTACCATGATATTTATATCTCTTTAGGATGTTCTTCGCCACTGGGAATGGAGAACAATCGCATACCAGACTCAGCTATAACAGCTTCCTCAGAGGTAGATCAACCAAAAGCTACTGAAAGACTTAACCTACGCCTCGGCCAACCTGTTACTTATTTATGTTTTGCCTTGTTGCAAATAGATGCTTCCTAACTGCGCCCCTAACCTTCTCAGTTAGCTATGACTTTTCCACTCGTCTTGTTTCTAAATTAAGTGAAGAAAATTATTAAAAGATTTCATTAAGTTATTCAATCCATTGTAAGCTCTCGTGGCTTTGTCAGTCCAAAACTTAGTTGAAACAAGTCAGGATAAGTATGAATTTTTCCATTCGTGTTTAATTGAAATGTATCTTTACTCAAGTGGGATCGCAACCATGGACCGAACAATGCGAGAATTTACCACATGGCTGGAGGTGGAAGAACAGGGGCGTGGTCTGCGAAGAAAAATGACGAAGGACAATGGATTCAAGTCAATCTTGGTAAAATTGTGGAGGTGACCGAAATAGGGATCCAAGGCCGTCAAGATTACGCTCAGTGGGTCACCAAATACAAGTTGTCTTACAGCACAGACGGTCATCACTTTACATTTCAGAATCAGGTGAAACGTCAGTTTCCTCCAAGAATTAATTGTTTGCAATAATGTCAGACAGTATACAAAACACAGTCGCTAAGAGAGTTAAGTTTAGCTAGTTTAAGTAAATTAAATGCGAGCTGATAAGGAACTTTTTTTGAGCCACATTAAACTATTTCACTAACCTGGCTGGAAATGTAAAACTGTTTCAGTAAACGCTATTCCCTCCCTAAATTTGTTTCATTCATAACAGCTTTTATACCAGAAGTGTCGCAATTACCTCAAATTAATTGAAATGTGATTTCAGGAATACCTTGGGAATAAAGATCAGAATACCCTCGTCATTAACGACTTGGTCCAGCCAATCAAGGCACAGTACGTCCGAATCCTTCCACAAGAATGGTATGGTCACATCTCGATGAGAATGGAGCTGTATGGCTGTGTTTCAAGTAAGATAATTCACTTTAAACGAAAAAGCACTTTTCAAAGCTTAGGATGAGGACACTGCGAACTAACTGAGTCTTTTGTTTGCGAAGAACCTGTTAATGGTGGATACTCCGCTTGGGGACCGTATGGTGAATGCAGTAAGCCATGTGGTGGAGGAGAACAAACTCGAAGGCGTACCTGTACCAATCCACCACCAGCACACGGCGGTAAAAACTGCGCCAGTCTGGGACCAGACTTCTCAACCAAAGAATGCAACACTCAAAACTGCCCAAGTGAGCACTTTTATTGTTAAGAGCTATGGATAGAGATAGATTAGTCATGGATACAGATGTAAAGACAGAGATAGAGATTGGATAGAAAAAGAATTGTCTCAATTTGAACTTAAGGCCGCCAAGGATTCATAAGACATGCCTTTTCTATCACTATTAGCATTTTCCACAGCTTTTCTAGATTCCTATTTTTTCTGATTCAAGGCTTCCTTCGACATTGAGAAATTTACATGTTGCAAAAAAATTGCGTGATATTGTAACATCACAATGCTTCTTACTTTATTCCCAGTTGATGGTGGTTATAGCAAATGGCTAGAATGGAGCGATTGTTCTGCCACCTGTAATGGAGGCAGCAGAGTACGCAGCAGGAAATGTGACAACCCTGCTCCACAGTATCAAGGAAAGAATTGCGTTGGACCCTCGCTGGAGACAGAGGATTGCAATAAGGAAGGATGCCCAAGTGAGTGTTTCTCACTCATATAAGACATATTATTATTATTATTATTATTATTATTATTATCATTATTATTATTATTGCTGTCACTAATATTACGACATTATATATTGAATCTTGTTTCACCAACATGTATTCTAAGAGAATACAACCTCTTGTTAGGGGGGCACCCCGAGTTCTTTTTTTCCGAGTATGCCTGTGTCATACATTGAACAACATCATCTTTCACTTAGATCTCCGAGCTAAATTCCTTCTCTAGCAGTTTGCAGGAAGGTTATCATTATCAGCATGGACCATTGCTCCGAGACAGAATCTTTTTATTAGGAAGCGTTAAGGTGGTTTAACCGCAGAAACGAGACCGAAATTGAACTTTCTAACGAGCAAATTAATTTTAATGAAATACTCGACTTTCATCAATTATCAGAATACCCAAGACGCAGACTACACTTATTTGTTATTCTTTTGAAACAGTATGTCCACAGTTGTAAGTGTCTTGAGAAAAAACCGATTTCGAAAGAATTCCAAATAAAATGTTGATGCAATGGCAAATAGAGAAATGTGCTCTTCAATAATTCTGCTTCTTCCCTTCGAAAAATCGATACTTTAAAAAGGAGGTAAAGAATCGAAGCGATATATCTATAGCTATACGTAAGCTCTACTGTAATAATGTAGATTGTAAGCAACTCGTAGGTGCCTTTTGATTGATATTTTGTAATTTTTTATGTTTTTTTCTTCTCTCCTTTATTCCTTTTTACTTGTTTTTTCTTTTCTTTTATTCCTCTATTCTGTGTTGTACTGTATTATTATTTTCTTCTTAGCTGTATCACGTTTTTTGTATTAGCCAATGTAATGTAAAATGTATATGTATGTGTGTGCATTAAAAAAAAAAAAATTAGCATGGACCAGGAACAGGACCCCCTAGCCTGCCACGAGTCTCCCATATCTCAATGGTAGAGTATCCTAAGAATTAATCGGAGGGTCGTGCGTTCGCCTCCTGTCGGGAACGCTCGGAGTCCCTTTTTTTCCGAGTATGCCTGTGCCATTCACTGAGTAAAATCATCTTTAACGTATGACCTTTCTCAATCATTATGTTATATTTCTAGTAAACGGTGGTTATGGACCATGGGGTTCTTGGGCTGATTGTTCTAAAACGTGTGGAAAAGAGAAGGGCATGAAGAGACGCGTCAGGTTGTGCGATCATCCAGCACCAGAGAATGGCGGAAAGGATTGTTCCGGTCTTGGAGTAGATAGCGAGACAAAGCCATGCACACCACCAATAAAGAAATGTCCAGGTATGCATACATTGATAACCATCTTCAAAGAGTCAATGAAACGAAGACAGTTTGTTGAGGACTCTAATGGTTACAGGGAATTCCTCGCATGTTAATTTTGTAAGCCTCATGTTTTCACAAGTCCCGGAACATCTTGTTATAACTGTCTCAAAATTTTATTTGGTTAACATCTTATGTATTCTCACATCAAAAATTAATCATTTTCCACCGGCTGGACATGTACGCAGCGGTAGAGCACAATGTTACAGAAAAGTCCAGGCAGAATACATCAAAAAGATCTTGAGATCATCCATAATCAGCTATGGTGAATGTCTTGACAGCTTAGATAAAAATAGCTTGCGATCATGAGTGATTAACTATGGTAAAAATCTCAATGTCTCAACAGCCTTCATATTTGTGAGGAATTTAGTCCTTTGGCTTGGTCCTCTCATGTTATCAACCCTAAATCATTTTCTCTTCATCACTTCTAATAAGTATTATGTTGCGATTCTCATTTTCCATAGTGGACGGTGGATGGGGAGAATTTGGTGAGTGGAGTGAGTGCTCGGTTACATGTGGAGGAGGAGAACAGATCAGGGAACGAAAATGTAACAATCCTAAGCCTGGAGCTGGTGGGAAAGATTGCGAAGGAGACTAACAGGAGACCAACGAGTGCAACACCTTTAAGTGTGGACGTAAGTAGAGGACTTTTTTATCCTTGTCCTTTTACCTTCTGTGTTGGAGAAACAGTGGTCTTGGCAGAGTCGTTGTGTTATGAAAAGAACCATAGGCAGTCACGACGGCGAAGCTGAGGAAACTTTCGTCTCAAAAATGACCATGCATTCGTCAGAAGAGTTTTCCTCTTGGCATATTAATAAGTGCGTCTTAACAAGTGTTGGACCTCGAAATTTTTGAAGGTGTCATTAATTTCCGTGCAGAGACAAACAAATTCCTGTCGAGAGATTTTTTCGCAAACAACGAAGCATTTGGTGATCTCATGTTATTGTTTAACAGAGGACGGTCAGCAAATGTACAAAGTTGTATACACACAGTGCACAGCTATTTGTCTGTTCAATAAGCCTTATATCTAGCTTACGGTTCATTATCACTCTAGTCAGGAGTATCAAAAGATACATGCAAATTTTTAAGGAAGCCTGAAGAGATGAAGCAGGGTAACCTGCGTCTAACAACTTTCATCTAAAACCCAGTGAGTAGCAATTCTCCCAATCAAATAAGCGGCGTGTTTCGGAAACCGAGACGAGCACCGGCAATGTGAATCAGAAGGCTTGAAAGCAAACAGAACCAGCGAGCTTTTCTCTAGTTATTATAACTCAATCTTCTTTTATGAGTATAACTCGACGGAAACCACCTAGCTAGTACAAGATAAAGCCCGACTAAGAACAGTGATCCAAATGACAGAAAAGACGCTTTTTAAAAATTATATCTAAGCCGCGACTTTATTTGCAAATATGTATAAGTGCTCCTGATCAATAAAAAACAATTAAAAGTCAACCTCATTATTCACATTCGCTCTGACGAAGGGCCAACGCTCGAAACGTCAGCTTTTTAACTCTTTACGGTGGCCAATTTAGAATTTCAACTTAGTTGGTATAGCCAAATTACCTTAATACCCCTACCGACGCAGCACCAGTTTCTTTGGAAACTTACCCCCTTTACTCATTATTCACGATTGAGGATGTCCAGGCTATAGTGTTTTTTATCTAAAGCAAGGCACTTTATCCCACCCACCCTGGGGGTGTAGATGGCTGACTCACTTTACCCCACTTACCTTGGGGCTGACTCCTGAAGAATTTTAAATTGCAAGAGATAATCTGCAATGGACCACAACTGTTGCCATGGAGACTCGCATTATTTCAGGGTCATGTCACAAAATAATGTTTTCCCTTTCTTCAAAAGCTGAATGGAGGCCCGTTGGCTGCTTCATGAATAGCGATCGCGCCCTTGGACAGCTCCTTGAGAGAGTCGGTAGCAAGCCATCAATAAGCTCCCGCTACGCAGCTTGCACTTCAGCGGCTGACAGTGGAGATGTTACCCTGTTTGGTATGGACGACAGGAGATGCTGGACTGGTGAAAACACTGAGAGTATACGTACATTCGATAAATATGGAACATCAGGAACGTGCAAGACAAGGAAGGGATTAAGTGGCGGACTTTCAGAGTATGAAACGATGTTTGTTTACATCAAAGAGGAAGGTGAGTAGTCCATCCATGGAGTAAATGAAACGTGTGCGAAGTTTCATGTTTAACTAGTCTTTAACTAGTCTAATTAGTTGGCTAGTCTAATGATATTTCTTATTTACGCCACCTCCGATGTTACCTCCTTAATCTATTGACATCTCCTCTAGTAATGTCAATTTTTCATTTTACTTTTAATTACAATTTATCAATTTGTTATCGGGCAACTAAGTGGTAAGAGTGAAAGATTATATCAGGAATAAAACACGTTATCAGAGGGAATGTAGAATGTTCCTTAAAGAATTATTTCCGTGCCTAACGAAAGTAAAGCTGCAAATGAAGAAAATCAAAACATTTTCTAAATTCATCATAATAAGTGCTCTGTGCAATCTGTCTGGCCTCGAGAGTGCGAATCGCTCAGACGCGCATAATCTTCTCATGTATATCATTGCAATCCTAATTCATCTCATTTTTCACAAAGGCGAATGGAAGCAAAAAGGCTGCTACATCAACAAGGGACCTATTCTGGCTCTACCAGACTCGATAGATGACACTGTTGAAAACTATCAAGGAAACGAAAACATTTTTGATCACTGCAGAAAGAAGGCTGAGTCTTTTGGCTACAAGCTATTCGGTGCTGACGATAAGACATGCTGGGCAGATAAGAGTGGCAAAAATAAGTACGAACTGTACGGGAAATCTTCACACTGTTCCATTGGGAAAAGTGGTAAAGGATCCGGAAGAGATATTAACGGTGACATGTTCGTTTATCGTTTTGAGTAATAATTGTTGAGGTAGGTTGTACTGTCATCTTAAATACTAGGTGATATAAGTTCTCGCGCAGGAGATAAGAAATGGCTGAGGAGTTGGTCTGAAGGTCACGTGCCTCGTGGTCTTGATTTAATTGTAAACTCGGAGAAGCGACCTCTTGAAAAGGTTGTATTCTGAAAGTTCAAAGGTCGAATAGTCTGAACTTGACTTCTGTCTGTGATAAAGAGTAGCTTTCTTAGGGACACCTATATTCTAGAGAAATCCTCCAACCATCTGTAAATTAATGCGCAAAGCGAAGAGCTCTCGTAGAAATCTGAAAAATACAAGGGAAGACCTGAGTTGGCTTGCATCCCATCCTTACGAATGGTTGCAATATTGTCATTCATTGCGTTTATGCTGGAGAAGCCAGCAAAAGCTCCTTACAAGTATGAAAGTCAGTCTGACACGTAGTCTTTAGCTGAGAGAATTGGGTGAGGATACACCCGATCGCTAATTCTAACGTCCCCTGTAGAGAACTGGGCATCCGAATACAGTTGACTAGTAATGTTGAGAAATCTATAATCATTAATTTACAGGTAAAGGAAACCAAATTCAGGAACGGACGACTCATAAAGCCGGAAATAGATACAGTATACAGCATAATGTGAAACAGTAGTCTAGCGCCTTTGTGTGGGTCTTGGCCACAGGAGCAGCTTCTAGAACACGTAGTGGGTAAATAAAGGACATTCAAAAATACAACTCTTTGTCTCATTTTTCCTGGCAGGACCTTCAGCAGGCTATCCCATTATTTCATTTAGTGCCTACACCACTCATAATAGATAGTTCCACCAGTTTTGCACTTCTTTTATTTCCTACCCTATCTTTCCTATGCAAATCCACTTTGTTTATGTGTCGGCTCCGGCCTGGTTTTTTACTGGTTCATTGAAAATAAGTTTATATCGCAGTAAATGGCTTGAACCCGTGGGTAACATGTGAAGGTGTAGTCTGATCGTCCTGGTGAGTGTAGTCCTGAGAAGGACCGTTGTCGGTGGTAGTGACTGACGTTTCGACAACCTGTGCGGAAGTCACTTCCCCACAGGTTTTCGAGACGTCAGTCACTACCACCGACAACAGTCCTTCTCAGGACTACACTCACCCGGACGATCAGACTACACCTTCATAACTTTATATCGTCATCTTCCCCTCCCCGTCAAAATCGTCC